TTGAACGGAATCGTAATGATGAGATTTTTGATGCTGTTTTTTAACTTTTTTCAAAGATTGTTATAGGAAAAATTTGAATAACTGAACCTAAACTCTTCCGATTTAGACTTAGGAGGTGTCATTGGAAAGGTATTTTCTCACCCTTTTTATTTCTTTGCTAATAAACTCATTCTGAGGATGGAAGAGAAAGGTAGGATGAAGGAACGTCATTCAAAGTTGAATTAAGATGTGTTGGTATTCGAAAAAACAAGATGGGACACGAATGACGTTTTTTTGGCCAGAAATAAAAACAGTGAAAATACCTTTCCACTGAGATCCCATAAGTTTAAATCAGAACATTTTTGGCCCAGTTATTCAAGTTTTTCGTAAACCAATCTTTGAAAAAGGTAAAAAAACAGCATCAAAAATCTAATTTTTACGATTCCGTTGAAAAGGTTTTTAAATATTTGTATGCAAATTTTTTAAGCTTAATCTAATTTGTCATCTGAGGGGACTTTTTTCAAAAAGTTCTTTAAGAAACTATCTTTATTCATAAAAAACTTCATTTTTGGAGGTATTTTCAAATCGGTCCAGCTCGCTTAAATCGTAATAGTTTTCCGAAATATTTTGGTGGACGTCTTAAAATATAATAAATTTTGTAATCCCGGCGGAAAAACCGCAACTTTTTTTGGTGATGCAGTCTAATGTGTATTTATATGTCGTGTAAAGAAATGCCCAACGCTTTTCTTCCACTTATGTATGTCCACGTATATTTTTCTGTCTTTTAATAACCCAAAAACGAAGACACTTAAAAATAAAAATCCCTACTAAAGTGGCTTTGCGGAAGGGAAATTTAAGCAGTTGATAATAAACCCATAGCAGAAAACACAAAAAGATCATACAGAAATTTGACACGGTGACAAACACTCTTTGCTGAGAGATTTGTGGTTGTGAGAAACACAATAAAAAATAAGGGGAGAGGGTTACTTTCGATCTCTTATAGCACTGGTTTACAGCAAAAATGTTCTATGGATGCCACTATCCAATTTCTATCAGAGACGGGCAAACGAAGCTGATTTTGTGACTGTAAGCCTGCTCACATTAAAAACGGGGGATGAACGAACAGCAGCGCATAGCGTACAGGGCTTGCAAATACAGCCACCACAAGTGAACGATACTTATAACAGCTCATACTGTTACGATACTGATACTCATACGATTTTTTGAAATTGAATGGTCTTTTGTTGGATGTCAAATGGGATAACTTGTTTCACCACTCTGATGTCTCCGAGTGTTTCGAGATCTTTAGAAGTACTGTTGTAGAAATTTGCAAATGTACTGTTCCAGTATTAACAAAAAAGCATTACAAGGTGCCATGGCAGAATGCGGCTTTAATGAGACTACAAAATAAGAAAAACAAGTTTCTTCGTAAGTTCAAAAAAAATTAATAATAATGTTTACTTCGGCCTGTATAAAAAATACTCCAATGAATTCGTATGTTTGGATAACTTTTGCATAGAAACTATGTCCTTAGTTTTGAAACCAACTTAAAATCAAATCCAAAAGCATTTTGGCATTTCGTTAATTCGAAAAAATCTTGTTCCAGCATTCCGTCGGCACTTTTTATGGGTGACAATGCTGCTAATACTCCTACAGAAGCCGCTAATTTATTCGCTGAATTTTTTAAGTCCAATTTCACAACAGATTCCAATAGCGATGAGAACGTTTCTTTCGATATCCAACAGTCTCTTGAATTTGGCAAATTAACACTTATNACACAATAAAAAATAAGGGGAGAGGGTTACTTTCGATCTCTTATAGCACTGGTTTACAGCAAAAATGTTCTATGGATGCCACTATCCAATTTCTATCAGAGACGGGCAAACGAAGCTGATTTTGTGACTGTAAGCCTGCTCACATTAAAAACGGGGGATGAACGAACAGCAGCGCATAGCGTACAGGGCTTGCAAATACAGCCACCACAAGTGAACGATACTTATAACAGCTCATACTGTTACGATACTGATACTCATACGATTTTTTGAAATTGAATGGTCTTTTGTTGGATGTCAAATGGGATAACTTGTTTCACCACTCTGATGTCTCCGAGTGTTTCGAGATCTTTAGAAGTACTGTTGTAGAAATTTGCAAATGTACTGTTCCAGTATTAACAAAAAAGCATTACAAGGTGCCATGGCAGAATGCGGCTTTAATGAGACTACAAAATAAGAAAAACAAGTTTCTTCGTAAGTTCAAAAAAAATTAATAATAATGTTTACTTCGGCCTGTATAAAAAATACTCCAATGAATTCGTATGTTTGGATAACTTTTGCATAGAAACTATGTCCTTAGTTTTGAAACCAACTTAAAATCAAATCCAAAAGCATTTTGGCATTTCGTTAATTCGAAAAAATCTTGTTCCAGCATTCCGTCGGCACTTTTTATGGGTGACAATGCTGCTAATACTCCTACAGAAGCCGCTAATTTATTCGCTGAATTTTTTAAGTCCAATTTCACAACAGATTCCAATAGCGATGAGAACGTTTCTTTCGATATCCAACAGTCTCTTGAATTTGGCAAATTAACACTTATTTCTGAGGATGTGCTTAGTGGCATTGCTCGGCTTAAACCCTCCTCACAAACTGACGATGATGGTTCGTATGCACTTTTGTTTAAACAGTGTGAATCTTTAATGTATCCATTATTGGAAATTTTTAATAAATCCTTATCGTCGGGCACTTTTGTAGACAATTGGAAATTAGCGTTCATCACTCCCATTTTTAAAAGTGGTAACAAAAACGATATCAGCAACTACAGACCCATTTCAAAGTTTTCTGCTACGTCAAAACTTTTTGAGTGCATTGTCCAAGTCAAACTTTTATCTGCTGCTAAGAATTCAATATGTCCGCAGCACCATGGCTTTATACCGGGCCGCTCAACGGTATCAAATTTAGCAGTGTTTTCAGATGACGGCATAACTGCTTTCCAATCAGCGCTTCAGGTTGACACGGTCTATACTGATTTTTCTAAGGCTTTCGATAGGGTGTCCCATAGTATCCTGTTAAAAAGACGAAAAATAAGAATATTATAAATTTTCGGAAAATGGGCGTAGCCACGCCCACTTATGGTTACATGTGTATATCTTGGTAACCGCTGCACCAATTTCTTCCAAACTTGGCACAGTTGTTGGCCTTGATACAGCATACTAAATGGCCGAAAATTTTAAAAATCGGAGAATAACCACGTCCACATCCCATATAACGGTAATTTTCGGAAATACGAAAACTGATATTTAAAATTGATACTTACAACAATTTTTAGACGAAAAATAAGAATATTATGAATTTTTGGAAAATGGGCGTAGCCACGCCCACTCATGGATACATGTCTATATCTTGGTAACCGCTACACCAATTTCTTCCAAACTTAGCACGGTTGTTGGCCTTGGTACAGCATACTAAATGGCCGAAAATTTAAAAACTCGGACAATAACCACGCCCACATCCCATATAACGGTAATTTAGAGAAATACAAAATCTTCGATAAATCAGTAAATATTAAAGCTAACTTATTCAAAATTGATGCTCGCAACAATTCTTTACCAAGAAATACGTTTATGGTTAAATTTTGGAAAATGGGCGTGGCACCGCCCACTTATGACCACTTATATGTATATCGGTATCCGTTCTATCAATTTGTACCAAACTCGGTATTTTTGTTGTGCTTGCCACATAAAAGCAAAACGTTGAAAATTATTGAAAGCCGACTAAAATTGAGGCCGCTTTTCATATAACGGTAAATTTCAGAAATGCTTGAAATTTCAAAATTTCGAAATCTAAGGACTCTAATTTACTCAAAATTGATACGCCCCGGCTTACCATGTAGCGGTAGCTTTCGGTAAGGTGAAAAACATATATTTAATACGTGCGCCGGGTATTTAATGTTCGGCTCCGCCCGAACTTAGACTTTCTTACTTGTTTGTATTTGGAATTGTTAGTGAATTAGATTTTTTTGTTGTATCAGAAATTGTATTTGCAGGTTTGAGTAAATCTACTGAAACCGTTTTAATCATATTTCCATGTTGAATTTTGAATACTTTGTCATTTTATAACGCTTTTATCAACTTGCAATGTTGTGTGTCCAGAAACTTTCAATGTTGTGGATCCAGAAACTTTCAATGTTGTGTGTCCGACACCATAAAACCTTTGCTTTGAAAAGTTCCTATAAAAAAGCATAGTGCATAGGGCGACATCTGTAGTGAATAGGGCGAGGTAGATGACATCTAGATGTCGCCCTATGTACTACGTTTGCTACAGCGGAAATAGACGACACGCCATTTCTTTAAATAAAATTAATTGGTGCTCGTTTGTATGTACATACATATGTAAATGCATGTGTGTGCACCTTTCTATTAATATCGTTGAATTATTTTAATATCTATTGCAAAATTTTATTCAGACAGGACTAAAAAGTAGAAAATAAATAATATAAAAAAAACTTTTTAATATACAACGCTTTTATAAATGGA